ACACGTACCTCCAAAAAGGCACAAACGATCTAACAAAGAGGGAGACGTTATAACAAGATTAACTGACCCAGTAGTGATGTTTTTGGACAGTGGGAGGAAGCTGGAGATAACCCACGCACGCACAGGGAGAACAAACTCTGTGCAGAAAGAGTCCAGCCTGGGATTCAAATGCAAGACCTTCTTGCTGCAGAGCAGCAGAGCTACCAACTGCGTCACTGTGCAGCGCAAGAGATACAGTCATTTGATCTACCAACTATTTTCTAGAGAATATTTAAACAGCATCAAAAAATATACTTTTTATTACTATTTTATTTTACGGTCTGTCCTTGGTCTGTCCACACAGGAAATAAAATCCAACAACTATTCACCAAGTAAGTACATAAAAAGCTGTCCTAATATTAGTTTGTGGCTGCATCAGGTGGGAAACACCAATAGTGAAACAGTTCTGTCAGAAGCTACATATAATAAGCTATCTTTATTTTGTAACAACGGAAGGTCCTTTCGAGTATTAGTTACCTTTACTATCTTAAAATCATATTAATAAGGGTAGCATTTACTATCAGATACTGCTTGAAAATATAATTATAAGACACCCTGAAGAGTATAAGACTATAATATAGTTTTGGTCTAGGTTTGGTTTGTTTTCTCCACGTTTATTGAGTATCTGTGTTGTGTGGCTTGATTATTGTTATAGCACTTCTATTCACTTTTCCCATAAAAAGTAAATAGACTATGGCCTCCTGATGGATAATTACTGAATGTCTGATTATGTTTCAACTAGTAATAAGTTAGTTAACCCTGTTGATGCAGTGAATAGCTTCTCATTGCTAAGACAATCTTGTCAAAAGACATCCTGTGATGCAGGCAGAACCGAGTACGGGAAATATCGAAGAAGAAATCTGAAAGTTTGAAGATGGGTTGAGAACTCTCCCTCAGGAAGAGGCCATCGTAAATCTGTTCACGAAAAGTGACAAGTACAAATTGTCCAACCTGTCTCGGCATGCGGAAGCATTAAAAGATCCTTCCAAAAGTTCTGAAAGGAATTCCCACTTCTGAAAAACAAACACAATGCTGTCTAGCAAGGTTTTTCTTCTGGCAAATGTCGAACCCAGACTGGATTACAGAAGTAAAGAAGTTAAGGCTTGAACATACCAGAAAAATGCAGTTTGATGGGGCTTTCTGCAGACTGTCCTTGAGCTAATTTCAAGGCCACAGGTGTTTGGAAGGCTCTAGCTATAGCTCCGCAGAAAGCAGGCGACTTCTACTTTCCTCAACATCTAACAACTCTGCTCTGTGATTTTGTCTCCAACTTTGAGTTGTTGCCTTGCCCTGTTGCTTCCCCATTCTTTTTCTATGGCGTCAAAGCAGAAAGCGGCGTGTTTCAGGTGTGGCCTCAAAATACAATTGCAGGTGTGACTCTAATTAACTCTAATGTGTTTCCAAAATCTGGTATCATCACCTGGTGACCTAAAGCAATCATTCTTCATGTAAACTTTTGATTCTGAAGACATCAATAAATAAATCATTTTGGTAATTCTAATTAACAATAAACAAGAGAAGTTTGGTGTGATTAAACTTCAGACAGTGAGAAAAAGAGGTGTATGTGTCTTTCTATTTGGTGCATATAAACGTCTGGTATCAACTATATGTCCAATCAACAGCTTTTCATAATTAGCCAAATGTCAGTCATAACTTAAGTCTTCAAAGTTGTTTTCTTCAATTACCTCTGGATTGTCTTCTTTCTGATTCCTCATGTCTATTTTGTAAGGATTTAATAGATTCAATTGATAAATCATGTTGACAATGACAAGTACTAAGATGAACTAAGAGTTTAGTGCTGAAAAATGTTGATTTGAATGTTGTCAGGGTTGCAGCCACAGTAAAATGAATTTGCTGTCCACAAAAACCAATGAAGCAGCAGGGAGACATTTTTTTTCTGAGTCAGAACGCAGATTACGTGTAGAAAATTTATACTTTGTTTATAATAAGAAGAATAAGAATAATACCTATGACAGGTTCAATTATATTTACCTAAATGTAGAACATACAGACTAAAGTTTGTTGAACATACAGACTGACCCTATTTTTTTCAGTTTTCAAGAAAAGAGGATAAGAAAAACATTTTAACTCTCTATTAACTTATTTGACAATATGTATAAAAAAAAATAGGACTCCATATTTCTTGAAATCAAATGAGACTCTGGTAATGAGCTTTTGCCCCCTAGTGGTTTTTGTGTATACTACATGTTGTCACGAGATATTTTGTCTGACATTAAGGACATTTTATGGACATAAAACTACACTGTACTAAAATCAAACCTTAATGGTTGACTTATGGAACCAACTTAAATGCTACCATATGAATATGTAAATATATCAATAAAGACTTGTCACAGTGTTTCCATGCAGTATTTGTCTTCAATCTAAGAATAGAATAAGAACGTTTGACCCAGAATCAGACCCAGAAGCAAAAGAAGCTGAGCCTGCTTTTTTTTTTTTTTACTTTTCATGAACATAAAAAGTACTCCTACATCTGTTTCTTTTCGTATATCTTCTCTGTCTTCTCACACTCCCAGTCGGTGGTGGCAAATGGCTGCTTGCCCTGAGCTAAGTTTTGGTTTTGTTAGATGTTTCTTCCTGCTAAAGGGGAATTTTTTTCCGCACTCTCTACTGTAACTAAATGCATGCTAGGAATGAGGAATCACTTTAAAGTCACCGACACAATACAAGTAATTGTCAAGTAATTGTCTGTTGCTATGTGTTCCGCCACAAAGTGTGAATACTCCAAGTTAAGAGATATTAATGCAGTCTGCAGGGTTTCCTTTGAGAGAGTACTTTTCAAACTAATTTGTATAATGAAATGAACTTAATGCACTGTTTGATAAATGATATCACTTAGTTAGAATGCATGTGTGATTGAACTGAAATGACTTTCTTTTCGAAAAGTGCCTCAAGATGACATGCTGTGGTTTGGGCCTACATAAATAAACTGAATTGAATTTTTAAAAAATTAGTTCTTCAACACTCTGGAGAACTAATTTCTCCAAAATTAGTATGTTTCAGCATTCTTCAATTTGATTCCATTTAGGAAAAAGAACAACTCTTTAAAACCTTGTTTTAAACACCGTCCAATTCTTTATGGCTGCATCGTTCTAGATCGTCGACAAACACATTAATAAACACGGCGCGTGTGTCCGAAAGACTTGTTTAAAGGGATAGCATTTCATGAGATTGGGTTTCTGGTTAACCGTTCTTCAAACAGAACCGAGGCAAGATGGAACAAGCTCACACACAAACACAAAAACCCAAGACCATGAATTAGGCAGGCCCAGGCAGGATTCTGAGGAGATTTCAGATTAGACCAATATTTGATATTTCAGTGTTGTCTCCCTTGCTATGTGCTCATGAGAAATAAAGGACAAAAGACAACCTTTTGTAAATAGCTTTCCCTCGCTCCCCGTTGCTCCAGTTTGATACATACCTACATGTTTTTAATCTCTGTCTACCTGTGTTTTTATCTCTGTGCTCATCTGGTTCTTCTTCTCCTCCTTGTGTGACACCTGATCCTGGGGTTTAGAGTTACCACTCACACATACAAAGAAGTGTAAGAGGAAGCTAGAGGGCACCGGCGATTGACATTACATCAAGCAAAGAGGTGTGAACTGCTGGGAAATATTTGCTCAGTGTCTTTGTATTTGTTCGCCAGCCTGGAAGATAAAGAGAGCAAAGGAAGCAGGTTTCGTACGAGGAAATACTGACTCAAGTCGTTCCAGTTGGTTATTGTCGGATTTCCAGGTAAAAGACGCCCGGATGTGTGTGTTCGACCGACTGCGGTGCTCTTAGGACAGGTGGTGGTGCATGATGTACGGCCTTCAGATCTCACATTGTGCTATAACGCCATATATAGAACTTGATTGCAAACCTTTGCAGTTGCTGTTGTTGTTGTTTATCTGCTGAAAATGGGAGGTTTGCTCTGTATGACTAAACATAAATGGCTACAAAAATACCTACACATCTGAACTTGCCCACATCTGCATTCAGAGCAAATCATTCAATGTTGAAGTACATCGTACTACTTCAACACTGAAGTACGAAGTACTAAAAGTTTGTTCGTAAACATGAATCACTTACACTTTCCAGGAAAAGATTCATTCATTAACACATTAATAGAAAGAACCCTATAAAATAGAGTCCTCCTTTATCTTCCTTATATTCATCATATTATTAGATTTATCGAAAATAAGAGATATTTACCGATTAAACTAATTACACTAATCAAGAATGTTTATTGATTATGTCTCTAAGGTCTATATGCTACTAATCTTGTTAAAAAATAAAAGCAAAACATGAAACAATAAAAAAAGACACCAGCTTTTATTTATAGTCTATCACTACTTCACTACTACTAATTAAAAAGAAATTGATAACCATTTTTAAATTTCTTTTATTCATTAATGATTCTCTTTATTTTTTTACATCATGCAAGAACTATTAATTAAACAAATACACCATAAAGAAATATATTTGGATTGAATTAGATTTTTTTTTTTCCAAGATCATCCACTTGCTGATTTATAACCCATGGTACCAGCCCAGTTTTGGTTTAATGGTGTCATAAACTTTTGAGTGAATTAAAAGGTTTCCTAATCTGATGAATTCAGCCGGTTTCATCCTCTAAAGTTGCTGGATTGAGTAATTACAGCTGATTGGTTTAAATGGAGGACTTGTGAGGGACAGTTTACTAAGAGAAAGTGTTTGAGCTTACTGCGTTAAAGCGTGCCTCCAAAGTCAACAGACTGTTATAAACGCATGGATGCAAAATGCAGATCTTGTTTAAATGCCAGGGTTGAATTTAATTAATTTCCTTTTTTGTGTTATAGAAAGAGTGGCTGATTGGGTCTCAGATAAACTCACAGTCATGGCTGGACAATAACTATTCTTGTAGGCAGTGTTTTCTGTCCAGATGGCTCAGTCGGAGTAATTCTCCTCAGAAGGTCCTGACGCTAATCCTCCGGAGACTCTGAACTGCCTTGATCTCGTGCCTGCATGGGAAACTGGACTGCTTGTTCCCTTATTATTCTGCTATTTTATTATATTTTTTTGCTACATTGAAGCCTCTTGGCTTTAAGATCATAGCATAACCTTTTTGTTTATAGCAAGAACGTGGATATTCCAGTGTGATGGGCTCTGCATTAGGAGTAAAACTGGTCTGCACAGGGTGTGGAGCTGCTCTGTAAGCCCGTCACTGAGAGGAGAGAGGTTGTGCTTGGACAGCCGAGGAGAGATAGCAAAGAAAAGAACATTTCAGAACCACAGATCGCAGCAAGCTGATTAGCTGCAGATTCACGACTGTTTTAATCTCACTGGGGACGCTCTTCTTGAAGGATGGGGCTATTACACATCAGGTATATTTTTTCCTGATTTCTATGTTAATTGCCATATTTATTGTCTTAACTACCCTACAAAGTCCTCTAAGGCATTTTGTCAAAGCGCTGATCATCCAAAACGTTAAAGAAATGCATGTGACTGTCATTTTCTTAACATTGTATAATGTGTGTGCGTTAGAAGCTGTGTGTAGATGTCTCTGCTTGGGCTCTTTTAAAAATTTTCAGGGTAAATATGCTGAAACCTGTCAGTTTGCAAATGGTTTAGAGAGCAGATTTTCCACTCTTAAGCGACCAGTTTATACTCCCTTTTTTATTTATATAGTCATACAATGTGAATGTAACTGGATGACATTGCGTTTTGAGTCAATCTCCATTGACGTATGTAGGTTTTGCTTGACAAGAGAGCGCTAAGACGAGTAGCCTTAACAGATGCAGCTCATTAAACAAACATGGTGATGTGAAGGTGGTGGTGGCTTTAAAGCAACATCTGTGCTAAATATGCTCTCATGTACGATCTCTCTCTCTTCCTCTCTCTGCCTTTCTCTTTCTGTGTGTTTGTGCGCATGCTCCCACTTGGCCTGCTTTGGATCCATGCTGCATCATTAATGGTGAGTCTGAGGAAACACACTGCACACGCCTCTTCATTGGGAATCCTACCTGTTTTCCATCACATTTATTCGGCCAGTATTTTGCTCATTCATTTCCTTCCACAGTCACAGAGGATCGGTGTCCCTGTGTGGTTGTTTACTCTTCTTATGGAGATGTCAAATCTGCATGGTTCCTTACACTTTAAGCCAATTACCTGAGCTTCTTTAACAGGCATGTGGTGTGCTTGTATGTGTAATGGTGTTTGTGTGTGTCCACAGTGGCAACGGACAGGCGCTGTTATGCAATGACCTGCCCATGCATTTTATTTATGTGAGTCTGAGAAATGAAAGGATAATTCACATTGAAAGTACTGTAACAGATCCATAGCTTCTTCATAAATTCAATGAAAATCCTTCTTTGTATTTAAAAAAAAAAAACAAATCACTTCATATGCCTGCCTCTTCATATACCGTTTATTAAGGGTGTTTATAGCAGCTATTATAAATTGTCACATATTATTGTGTGTTGCCAAAATATTCATGCCTCTTGGATTATTTTGACATTGTATAAGGTCACACACACACACACACACACACACACACACAACAAAAACAGTACAGAAAGAAATGAGTAGTGTAGTATGCATTTAGTGTACTCATTCATTCAGCTTCTGTCCGGAGTCATGGAGGAAGCTTTTAAGGAGTATTCAATACCCGGGTTGGCTTGAGGAAAGAAACTTTAACACAAGCTGGATAATCTGGCCCAGATGCTATATAACCTCCCTCTGGAGGACAAGAGAAAGAAGTAAGCGGTGCAGGTTGAAAGTGTTTCAAGCAAGATGTTTGCCGTTTTTTGCAGTTCTCTACCTGAAGTGCCTGCAAGTTTGGACACTGTTGTCTAAGCATCATAAAAATCTACACAATCTGTAGGTTTAACTTACACAGATTGCCATTCAAGTTTATAATTTAACACCTTACATAAATTATTTAAAATATTAATATAAATACATTCCCTAATATGGATATTATAATACAACTTAAATATATAATAAATGCATTTTTTGTGTAAACTGTATCCCCATTAAGAGTAGTGCTTTGAAATAAACTGGAAAAACATTTTTTTTAAAGTTGCAGGATTAAGCCTCTAGGGGGAGCTGCCGTGTCACAGTGACGCTTAACTCATTTAAATCGTACATCCCTCCATTTTAAACTGGCTACCAAAGCGACCAATCAAATGTCATACTCTAATACAGTATTTCCTCTGAGCCAATGAGAGCCGGGTAAAAGGTGTTTTTTCACTGTAAGAGGTGGGACTTTGTGATGATGGACACGTCTCCTTTGAGCTCCTGCCAGACCGTCGGTGTGCGTGGAGTGTAGTTGAGATTTCTGGGAGGCTGAGGTACTGGGACGTGCATTAATCTTTTGGAGCAGAACCGAGCGCCAGTCCACGTTTAGGAAAATCCGCAACTCATTTATCTTTGGAGATTTGAACAGGTATGGGCTGATTTTTCACCTCCTTTAATGTCACGTGATGGAGATATCAGCGACGTATCGGCTTGCTTCATGGCTGTGTGGATCTGCATCATTTTCTGGTCTTTATGCTTTACATACTGAGGTTACATGTGCTTACCCTCCATACATACCTACTTTTGTCGTAGCTGTAGCGGTCAAAGAAACGCCGCTATTCAGTCGTCTCTGTTATGAAGGGAATTAATTCATACCCTCGATTTAAGGCGCTTCATGGCGCCTGCCTTCTTCCATGTTATCCCTGTTATCATCACCTCACTCCCCCCCCGCTTCCCGCTGCTTCTCATTCGGATGTGATTTACGTTGCTAGCGTAAAACACCTCAAAGAAAGGCATGTTGTCCTTTCTTTTTCCCTTTTCCAGCTCGGGTTAATTTAGCTTCACGTTTGTGTTTGTCTTTCATCATGAACAAACTTCTCGTGTTAACGGTCGACCTGATTGAACGCGGTGCTACCTTTACGGCAATTTTTAACGGTAGGTCGTTTTATAAGTGATGCGTTCAGAGACTGTTCAAACATCCGGCTCCGTTTTTTTTTTGTGGGACAACAGACGCAGCAGTTTCCTGCCGCTGACAAAACAAAGTAGTAAATGCCTTGGTGTTTAAACACCACGCTGCTTAGCTCCTCCTCACGGTGGTTTGTTTTTATTCGTTGTATTTTCTCCCGACTTAAATGATCGTTTCAGAGTGATATAGATGAGCTTTTCTGTTGGTGGGGGGTTTACAAGCGTGCATGGGTGGGACACTAATATATATATTTTCCATAATTCTCCGCTTTAATGGTTTGTTAAGGCATCCACAGTTTTATAAGCCTGGCAGTTCCTACATTTTTATGTGCAGGGTGGTGTTGTGTGTCTATATCATAATATTTTAGACAAACTTTGACAGATGGCAAAGGCCTCATGTAGTTTAGACTGACAAGCAAAGAGGCCAGCAGGCTTGCAGACACTGATCTGAGATCATGCTGACTTGTAGCTTTCTGCTAGACCTATTGAATATTTGAATTATCTTATATTCAGGTAATCAACCGCTACAATGGTGGTTCCCACCTGGTCATGTCTACTGTAAAAGTGTCTGCAGTGTACTGTACTGTATTGAGATGGAAAATAACCAAAACCTCTATCCATATCGTAGCCTGAATTTGACATTTTGAGGTGTCATAGCCCTAAACTGTTCGTCTATCCCGTTGTATCACCGTTTGATGAAAGTCAATTTCTGCTCTTTTGTAAATATTCATGCAGACAAATTTAGAATAAGTGTGTTCAAAACCTTTTTGAAGATAAAAGTGTCTGAGCAGATACGGAAAAACAGTAAAAAAAAAAAAGCACAACTTACTTTGACATAATGATAGACAGAAATAATAACATTAGAACTGCAACAGTTGAGCTGCAGCAGGGATAACTGTTTTTAAATGAAAGCAAGTAGACCATACTTTACATTCATGGTTGAATTTTAATGTGAATGGTGTCAAAAACGTGTGGAAAAAAAGGTTAAGAGAAAATGCCACGTAGCGTCTAATCGGTGCTGATGGGTTTTAGACGTGTCTGTCATGTTGTTTGCTATTCGGATTAAATGTTTTTAAAATGCATCCTACACAGGTAATATAACTAACCAGACTAATACCAGGACAGCAGACTGTTCCATTTGGTATTAAAGGTAACCCTTAAATCTAGCTCTAATTATGGGTTTCAGCTTGTCTTGTGAACTTCACTTTGATCAGCACAACCCACCCAGGAAAAGCTCCATTAGTGTGTTATAAAGTGATTATCTTTGTTCCCTGGTAGCTGATTGAGAGGCAGCTGGATTCTCATTGAAGAGAGGATCCATCTTGGTTTTGAGTTGTACTTTCATGGCTGTCATGTGAACCAGTCGTTGTTGTTTACGGACGGGATTGCAGTCAGAGATCAGCTAACAACATCAGCTTTCTAAGAACGATGGTTATTGTTGTTGTCTGGAGGGGCGTGGCTCTGTAAAATCACCTACTGGTTTTGTTATTAGTGGTTCAGTAATCTGTTTTGTTACAGAAAATCCATTAGAGATACTTACAGAGATATTGATCAGGTTTGGAGTGCCTCCTCCATGTTCATGGCCATACTGTCCAATTAGATAATTGCAAATGTTTTTTTTAGACAAACAAGCTGCTAGTCTTATAATTAGTTTTAATGTTTTCTGAAGCATATATTTGTATTTATTTTTTGCATTAATAATTTGTTCCATTTCGCTTTAATACTTTACCAGATTTGAGCTATTTTTTCTGTCGTTGAGAAGAAATAAAAGGCAAACCGAATAAAAACACCATTTGTTACTAGGACGACATGATGATAGAAAAAAAACTCCATTATATATTATTGCTGAATATCACAATGATGACATCAGTTGTGGCCAACCAATCAACAACTCTTTCATCAATTGTTTTTATTTTTATTTATTTTTTATGTTCCACCATCACAATGTCCCCACAATTTCCCAAAAGCTTTAGTTTCCTGGTCGCTCAAGTCTACATCGCAATATGGGCATCAAGTGCAGTGAAATATAAAAGCATACGCATAATGCATCAGAGCACTTCCTTTCTGACAGCACACATTGATAATGCTGTGATGATTGTGGTTTGGTATATAACGCAGCTCCAATTTGACATTGTAGGGAGTCCAAGTAAGTTAGTAATTAACAATCGGATTGGATTGCAACTAGTCTTTTCTGGATATAGTCAAGCTGCAAAAAAAAAACTATGCACAATGTATATTTCCCGTAATAAAAAATGTTTAAGGTGGAGTTGTTGTCAGGTACCATCAAGCGCTGTGTGTATCATTGATCTGTAACCATAAGTGGCATGTTCACTCCCAGACTCTCAGGATGTGCAGAACAGTGGCAGCTCTGTTTAAACCCACTAATGAGAAAGCCCTAATT